GCCCACGCCGGCAACCGTGTCCCTTCAGCCTCTTCCTCTCCTTCTCCATTGCCGTCTCTCTCTCCCCACAAAACGGCTCAGGTTTCTGTTATTCTAAACACCCTCCTCACCTGTTACCTGCCTCGACTTCCTTTCCTATCTCAAAAATTCTAGAACAGTCTAAACTGTTATCTTCAAGTACTCACCATCCAGCCGTTCACTCATCCCGGGCAGCCTTGTTTTTATTGCCACAACTTCACCTAAATACCATCCACCAAGTCGAGTTGGGAGTCTCCGCAGCTCCTGACATTTAATGACCAACGTCCATCTTGCAAGTCTCCCGGAGATCTAAACATGACCATCTCTTGGCGCTCAGGCTTCTTTGTCTACCTCTCAGCTACTGGCCCAGTGTCCTGCCTCTCCCTTAAACACGGGTTTATTCCTCAAGATTCTGTCCCTAGTCTGATCTAATCCCAAACTTTCCCTTAGGGATTTATACCACAGAGTCCCTGTCACCCCCACGTGGATCATAGGATCACTCCCCTCCTTTTCAACTCTAGACTTCTTTCTCAATGACCTGCTGGAAACTCACTGGCATTTTCCAGGGTTTATTCCAATAGAACTCATAACTTTTCCCATCCCACATACCTCCTAAATGAATTCCACCCATTTCTTCTAACAGAATTACCCTTTGCCCGTTCACCTAGTTCTAAAAATTCAGTGTCATCTTTAATTCTTTCCTCCATCTCAAGCCCACATACAGGTAACTACAAAGTCTTATAGATTGACCATTTGTAATACTTCCCACATGGACCCCTCTTCCCATTCCCACTAACCTCTAAGCTAGTTCTGACCCTTAACACCTCTGGCTTTCTTTTTCTAAATTTTCCATTTTAATCTCCCACAATTCTCCTCCACGCACCTTGAATCTAACTCACCTGGGGTGCTTTTAGGACAAACTAAAGTCAAAGCCTCACCTCAAAGACTCTGACTGACTGGCCTGGGGGGAGAGGGGGTTCTGGACACAGGTATTGTTTGTGGTTGTTTTTTACTCTCAGATGATTTGAATGCACAGCTGAAGTTTTCAACTGCTAACCAAACAGGAACTGTTTTCCCAATTGCACACCATGTTTTCTTGGGTCAAATATATTCAGCTAGTTTTCTGATTCCCCTCTATGGCACTTACTTCTTTCCCCAGACTACCATTAGTCCATGGTACTTTAACAAATTTGTTCAATTTTATAACAAAAATTAACCTGAAACCTTCATTCAAACCATCCCAACAACCTCCTTCCTTCCAACCTTATTCACCATGTGTACATATGCAGCAAGTAGGTGTCCATAAAGTTATTTTATTTTTGACACCTAGAGCCTGTCTTCCAGTAAGTAACCTCTGTGAACTTGGCTTTTTCATCTCTAAATTAAAGGAGATGAATTAAATGACTGTTAAAGTTTCTTTCTAGCACTGAGAGTACGATTCTATGATTATTTTATCAAAAGAAACTCTTGGACCACTGGTGAATGATGGAAGCTTCTAATATATGTTCCCACCTTACCCAGTGCAAGACAGCTCTAGGTTCTCTGATAGTTTTTGCAGTTAGAATTACCACCACGTCTAGTATAATTCGACTGACAGGTAACACCAATCTTTTTAACAGGACAAAAGAGAACATTTAGATGTGATTTTGAATGGCTGTGATCCCAATGCAACCACGATAACAAGACGTACCATCACGCAAGTTCTTAAATCTAGATGTCAAGTTACCACACTATTTACAAACCGATTAAATCAACTTGCTCACCTAAACCTGGCCAGAGGAAGCACGCATGCTCCGTCTTCTAATGGCGTTGTTAACTTTCATATTAACATGTGAAAAATAATCATGGCAATGAAGTCTTTTGCTACTCATTCCTGGGAGTTAAGTGCAAATAACATATGCAGAAAAGCATTCCATTTCCTCCATTATGCTCAAATACATGAATCAGGAAGGGAAGACCTCCTGGCAGAGAATGAACAGTAAAGGCTAGTGCAGATAGAGGTGCTGGGCTTGCTGCTGAGAGAAGAAAATCCTGAATCCAGGGAGGGTCCCGCTCTACCCTGGGCACCTTGAACAGTTTATCTATGTAAGCCAGGCCTCTGTTTCTACATCCTCAAAATGAAGACATCAAGCAAAGAAAACAGTTCAAAACTGCCTGATAAAATCACCCAAGAAGCGTTTTTAAAAACCAGAATACCCAGCTCCTCCTCTGGAGATACTTCTGATACGGTAGGTCTGAGCTATGACACAGACTTCTGAAATCATTAACTTTTTAACTGGTGACCTATTAGTTTTCACACATAGCTGAGAAACACTAAGCAAGACAGACTGAGATCCAGCTCTAGCTCTGGAATTCTTCTGCAAAAAGAATGATGCTCCTAGTAGGTGTTAAAAAATGTAGCAACATGGCTTGGGAGGAGTCTGGGAGAATATTGGAAAAATCAACAAGTTGTCAATTAAGTACATGGTTATTTGGGTTATATCTAATCAGTGAGATAATGGAGGAAACAGTCTTCTGTCAGTTGGCCAAAAGGACTTAAAGTTTTGTTTTCAAGACAAAGATTCTAAACTCTTTCTTGCAATTAAAAAAAACACAAAACACCCTATATGGTGTAGAGTTTTAGATGAGAACTGTCTAGACACTCTTTTTTTTTCTGTTTGTTTCAGTATTTCAATGTTTCAACAGGGATTTTTTTTTTTAATTTTTTTTTGCTAAAGAGCTATACGTAAAAACGGCCATGAAATATAACACTCTATTAAGAAAAGATCTAGGAAAAAGGAGACAATTTCAAAAACTAAATCAATCTTCCAGAAATGAATCTTCTGAGTTGCTTCCAATATCAATTTTAGGGTAAAAACACGATTAGTTTCTAACTTGCTTCCTTTCACTTTAAAGACCACTGTTTTTTAACTTTTATTTTTTTAGTCATTAACTAGAATGTTCTAGGGTTTGGATTCTGAAAACCATAAAATAATTATAACAGGCTATAATTTAAGGATTCACCTTAGGCCTTCACAAAAAACAGCATTATCTATCTTTTCACAGTTCATTTTTCTGCTAGGTTACATTTTATAAACTCTGTTGACAGGAAACTTCTCAATTACAGGAATCCGGTATTGGTTTTATTCACAATTTAATTATCTAAATAAAACTCCCTTGAAAAAGAATTGGCAGTCAGAAAATACGCTGGGAAGAAACTATTTAACAGGAAGGTTCACTCTGTCGAGCCGCAGTAGCTGAGGGAGAACAGGACGTGGAATAGAAAGGCCATCCGTGGGGCGTGTTATTTCCACTGAGCAGGATCAACGAGTGTCAGTGGCACTGCAAGAAATTGCAGGCTTGCGGATGCTTTCAGGGCCTTAGCACTTTCAATGACGACCAGTATCAGGTTCAAAAGCACTTATGAGGACACACCCTAATATTTTTTCCTTCTAGGTTTCAACCATCACAAAGGAGGAAGTTTTGAATCAAAGTGTTTTTGCTTCGCCGCCTGACAAGCCTGCATTTGTCTGCACCTCTGGCCCGTCGCTGCTTCCAAAGGCGGGCCCGGCGCCCTGGCAGCGCACGCAGCGCCCGGCGGGCCCGGCGCGGGGCTGTAGCCTTCCTGCATTCAGCTAGAGCCAGAAGCTCAAACGCCCCGGCATACCTCATGCTCGTAAAAGTTATACATTTCTTTCAATAGAAACGACAGCTTCTTAGTCTGGTTATTGTAACTACAGACAGTCCTCACACCAGCTCCTAATTATACCAAGAGTCTGAATAATAACAGAAAAAAATTACACAGTATTTTGAGGGAGTCTGTATTTACACTTCATTCATTAAGGAGTCACATTCTCAATGAAATACTCAGTATTAAGGAGCCAGTGATAACATCGCATAACTTGAGTGCCCGAGGAAGTTCACATTTTGAAATGCGAGATTATGAAGTAGCCTCCCAAACACGAATATTTGTGTGCTTTCAGAGATTACAGATACCATCTGATTATCAAATGTCACAATGCCAACTCATAGGTTCAGTGGCTTGATGGGACAGCACTGAAATAGGCTTCTATCACTTATGCCTTGTCTGATTAAAACAAAACCAAGGCCTGTTTACAAAGAACAATACTTCTAAAGCTAGGAGCCAAGTCATCTAAGAGATGCCGATCGAAACAAAAAGGCTGGATACAGGTTTTGAAAGCCTAAATCCTGGGTTCAAATTATGTCCTGCTCAAGCCCAGGTAACTGTTCGGGTCTGACATACTACTTAGGCCCAGGGAGTAAGTGAAACCGTGTCTGGGGATTCACTTAAACAGAATTTTATTAGACCAAAAGGTACTAGGGCTAGGTAGTGGTTTTAGCAGACTAAAAAACAAAAATATTTACTTTTTCTATAATAAAGTTTCAGGCCCTCGGATTCCTTATTCCATAGGACATGATTCCACAGAAATAAAGATGGTAGGGCACGTTAAAGACTCACTAAAGGAAACGAAAAGATAGGGTCAGGAATGTTTCTAAAACATCTTTCTGACAATGTGTGCACTCTGACTCCTAGAGTGTCTTATTAAAGCGACAGTGCCTGAGACTCCTAACACGCCTACAGAACTAAGTCTTTACGTTTTGCTGGTGAAGATTAATTTCTGATTAACCCAAGGGTTAAGATAAATATTTTTAATAACTTCTAGATACGGGCCGTTCTAAGACACGATGACCTCCACAAAACCTCTTGCTTAAAAAACGGCCAAAATGGGAGGGATTGTTTATACGAATTGCAAAACATTTTCACTTTATAGCGACTCACTTGGAGATTTGTTGAAACAGAATTTGGATTACAAATTTTGATGAACGCATTTTCCAGGAAACGTCTAGTTCAAAATTTGAGCTCACCTGTGTCTAGATTCGGTGTATTAAGAGAAATTAAATGAGTGTGCATGAAGAAAAGAGTGAAAGCACATGACCAAAATCACCATAGCAGTACAGGGCAATAAATGAGGAAATCAAGAGACGGTTTCATTCATTAATATATTTCTGCATTATAGTTAACATATGCGCTTTCTTCGTGTCACCTTATTTTCCGTTATGTATTGATATCTTGTTATAGTCAGACATGAGTACATTTCAACAGTTTTTTGCAATAAATATCATAAAATAATAGAGATTCGCATAATAAATATTCTTTACAATAAAAAAGTTTAACAGACTTTTGTCTTAAAAATAGTCAGAATTCAACTTTGTGATTTATACATAAAATATACAAAAAGCACCACAATTTGTGGTTAAGGCAATGAAAACGCAGAAGAGATTAGACTTACTCAGCTGTTAACTAACTGAGGCAAAGGGACCATTCAGGAGCCAAGATCTCTTTAGGCAGCATACTTCTCTGACACCTGCAGATCGATCAGCTATAAATAACAACTTCCGTAAGCCAAGTGCCCTCAATGACAAGAGAAATTTGGTGAAAGGTGTGGGGTGTGGCAGGAAGGTAGCTGAATCCTTCACAAATACGAAAGCTAGAGTGAAGATCATCAAGATACAACCAAAATATCTCCAATGTGAAGATTTACATTGTAGAGCGAATCTAACATTACATACAAAAAAAAAACAACAAAAAACAAAACAAACCACCTGGCATCTCTAGAATAAGACAATGCCAAAACCGAGGGGAGAGAACTGAGGGGCAAGAAGGCAGTGGTTAAAGGAAAACTTTTATGTTATAACAAAAATATGCCCCCAGTGCTACTTAAGGGTCCAATGCTAGGAAGACGGCACTAACTGGAGAGAGAGTGAATACATAGCTTATTTAAGCAATTAAAGGGTTGCTTCTTTAAACACCAATTTCCCTGCTCCCAGAGTAACCCCATCAAAAACAGCTCTAAACCACTGTCACCTGGGTGTGTGCGGGTGTGTTCGTGTGGACAACTTTGGAAAGTTGCTTGCAGAACAAAAAGGCTACACGAAACCCCAGCCAGTGCCTCCCAACACCCTCTCAGTGGGTGGCAGAGGTTCTTGTCCTGAGCGGGACCCAGTCCATTCTCACTGATCGTCCACGAGAGGGTACCATCCGCAAGTCAAGCCTTGGGAACAGGAGGAGAGAAGGCGGGAAATGGCAAAGTCGTAAAGAACATAAAACCAGCATCGAATGGCATCTTTTTTAACAGCCATAGCTTGCAAGTTAGGAGTTCAGGAGGTCCAACCCACCTCCCAAATCATGAGGGTTTCCCCTGCGCCCGGGAGGGGCAGCTCTCCAGCTTACAGTAGACAGTGTTGGAGTTCTTACATCTGCACCCCGGGCGGTGGGTCCAGTCGTAACACCCCCTACAGAGCTTCAGGCATCCCTTGGCAGGAGGGTAACAGAGCAAGCAAGGTAGAAACAGAGACATGGCTCCCATGCACAGGTACCTAGAGCAGCAGTGTGACTGGGAGCAGGAGCAAGGGCTATCCGAGTACGAGTCGCCCTCGTCGTCGTTGGAGCAGTGGTAGAAGATGCCCTTGACCAAGCACATGCAGGTCCCGTATTCCACCATGCTCTCTGCAGAGCAGAGGCACTGCCGGTCACAGGCCAGGCAAGACGGCAGGGTCCTGGGAGCCGTGCACTCGCCACACTTGCACTTCCCACACTGCTCACAGATGAACTTGTGCTGGGTCAGGTCCTCTTTCAAAGAGCCCTTCAAGTCATCCACAGTTAGCTGCTTGGGCTGGGTCCGGATTGCCCTTTCAGACCGGTGAGCAGGGACAGGTCTTGCTGGCGGTGACCTTCCCAACAGCCCCTGCTCAGAAGACGCACTGCTGTTGCTCCCAGAACTGGCTGCACTCCCAGTGCTGGTAGATCTGCTCAGAATGGGGCCTCGGGCGTGATGTGAGAGTCCTGTGTGTCCCGGGTGGCTCGCAGGTCTATGCTCGTAGTTGTTATTCACATTAATTGGTATGATTTCATGAGTCCTCTCATGCTTTTCTTGTCTGGGGGCTGTTCGAGGAGCAGGTCTTTTCACCACTGACGGCCCTTCCGTGTATTCGTTGCTGCCTCTGATGGCCTTGATCTGGTCTAGGGACAAAATAGCAGCAGCCGGGATCTCTCTGTCATAGTCGAGCCTCTGCCGGCTGTCTAGAGTGGGTGGCTGGGTCACGACCAATGAACTGCCACTGCCATGCTGGTTTGGGGGATCCATGTGTAGTGATCTTGAATTCTGGCAATCAGCGGAAACCTGGCATGCATCTGAAATCCTAAAAGGAAATCGAACATGAAAAAAACAGAGAGAGAAAATAAATGACAGGAAGTATTTTGGGGGGGAAGGGAGAGAAACCCTGTCAAGTCACAAATTGCCTAAAGCACCTGGTAATGATCACCTTCATCAGCGGATTACAATGATGCTGGGGTCCTGGCCGGAGTCCAATCCAAGAGAGGCCGAGGACCACATCATGGAAGAAGAATGTGAGCAAGAGACCCCATGCCATAAAAATTAGGTTATTCAACTTGTAAAAAGTGGAATCAAGAAGTACTGCCTTCCTGTTGGTGAAACTAACAAATAATGAAAATATCCCCTTGTAGGGAATATTGAGCATAGGCACTGGAATAGAAAGCTCAGTATCAGTTCATCGGTGTTCTCCATAATGGAAAATATGCACTTAAAAATGGCTTTGGTGCTGTTGCTTTTCTGCCATTTGTTTGCTGTTACAAGCATTAGATTAATGATGAAGAAATTAGTCAAGGTATACTTCATCCATTAAAAAAAAGATTCCAAACTAAAATGGAGTCTCAAAATAAGAAGTCATTTTCTGTAGCAACCAGGGTTTTCAAGCTAGCTCATTATTCATGTACAAGATGCAAAATGAATATAGACGAATACGGCAGCTCTTGGTGTTTATAGCCACGAAAGTGAGCCCAGAGGCGCAGGCGCACACACGGCTCGAGGTACAGCTCTGTTCATGTTAGAGGATTCACATTTGAAATCACGAAAGGATTTTTTAAAAGTTTAAATAAGGGCTCACTCACATAATGAGAAAACCTTTTCATGCACAAATAAGCGTTAGGCCTTTAAAGCGGCACAGGGAAATCCTCGCCATTTTAATTATCTGCAATTCCTCTAACTTAAAAATCTGTATTTACATGACAGCCTGATTTTTAAAAACATTGCCAACTCTGAATTAACATGCTTCTTGTAATGAAATAAGTACGGCGATACCCTGATAAAAATGAGCAGTTGTGTTTCCTTTCCAACAGTAAATTACTTCTCATTTATAATGCATTCTTCATAAAACAAACGACCAAACAGAAAATCGTTTCCGTTTTCAATCAGTGGTAAACTACAATATTTTTCACACAAATTCCTTCCAAAGTCTACAGATCCGATCCAATTCAAGAACGAAAAGAAAAATGCCCATTCTCCACTGCCACTTTGAGCCAAAAAAAACCCCAAACCACCAGCTTAAGGAATTAAGCAGAAAGAAGTCCATTTCATCTAATAACTAGAGTGAATGTCCCCGGGCTGTCCTGTATGTTAACTTCTGGGGGTTCCTTCCCTCATTCTCCCAAGGCTCTGCTTCATTCTTCCTGCACTGCCCATGGGAACCCACGCGCTCACAACCTGCTGGGTTCAGCCCCGGAGTCCTCCAGGACTGAAAACTAGCCCGTGGCCACTGCATAGCACTCCTCCCGCAGACAACTGGTTAACCCGGGGCTTCGAAAGCGAAGAGAGTGTGTCAAAGGATTAAGGCAGGGTTCACTCGGAAGGAAACCCGGTGGAGAGGGTAGGAAAAACCCCAGGCACGGCTGTAAACTGTGTTTTCACGGACCGTGGTCACAAAGTGCCTGCTGGCTGGGAAGGTCAGTCAGCAGATAAAAAGAAAGTGAACCACCTCTGGTCTGAAGCAAGGCCCCTAGGCAGCAGGTACAGCCCCCCCCCCTCCCCCCACGCTCACATGCTCTGGGCAAACGGTTCGCCCCGAGAAAACACGATCCAAGTCGATACCTTCTCGGACAAGCCCCTCACATCCCAAGGATCGCTGTGGATTCTCCAAAACCAGTCTGTGTCCCCACCGAGGTG